GCCCCAACCAACAGTGACTCAAGACATCACTGGGGGGCATTTATTACATTAGCTGTGTGAAATCTACACAGCCAATGTGAAAGTTGTCAAGTTGTCGTTTTGACGAACTCGCAAGAAATTATCACCAGACACTGCAGTTCCCTTCAAATCTACAGTGTGTTTTAGTGTCTGTCAGCTTGTTTTGGTTCACTGTCATCGGTCTCATTAATGCTGTTTCCAGCTGAAGTAGGCTGCTTTTTCAGCAAAAAAAGCTCTGATGAACTTACTGTACTCTAGATGTAGCATCAGAAAAAAGATGAATAAAAATATATATTCAACTTACATTTTAAAGGTTTCCCGAAACACGACTCCAAATGAATGATAATGTTGATTTTAGACGAGGCAAGGCTAATTTAGTTATATAGGACTATTTATACACAAGGCAGTTTCATACATTACATTACATATGTTAATTTAAACTTAAGAATGAATAAGCATACATTTTAGTAGTTCATTTCAAAAGATATTCCGGCTAGAGTTGTGTAAGTGACCAACAAACAGAGGAAAAAGAGGAAAAAGAGCAAACCTACATCACGTGGAAGGTACCTATTCTAAATATTCTCACAGTCCAGTTTATCTGTCATTGTTCTCTATGCAGAAACTACCATTCGGCAACAAGTGAGCCACTACTGCTGACATACAACATGACAATTTAGAAAACAACCCATTTGTTACAGTTAACACAGGGCATAATGCCAGGTAGTACAAAGGTGTGAGTGTGGTCTGTTTCCAGGGTAACCTCAGAGTAATCTTAATTTCAACATGCAGCTCTACGCCCACTCCATCCCTCAATGCACTTTCTCTCTTTCTTTCTCTCTCGCTCGACAGGAGTTCTCACTGCCATCCATCACTCTCTTTGAGCGGTGTGGTCTGCGGGGGAAGAGGGTGATTCTGACAGATGGATCAGTCAACCTTCAGCTGGCTGGAGGCTGTAGCAGAGTCCAGTCTGTGCTAGTGGAAGGAGGCATGTGAGTACATTACAACTGCTGTGTGGCAACTCACTCTATAGGGACATAAAGCAGCTGCCCATCCGTCACCAAGTACTCCGCTTGGTGTGAGTTGACAGGTTTATGCATAACAGCCCGAGTGTGTGTTTCTACTGGGGAGTGAACCCACTCTGCTGTCGAAGGCTTTTTTTCTGCCAGGAGCACATAAAACAGAATAATAGCCTTTATTTTTTTTACATGCACGTCTTTCAGTGGCAACTTCTAGATCCCTATTGTTGTTTAATCTTTAATTAAATTCAAAAGTTCAACTTAACTGCCAAGTCAAGTTGTCAAATATTCTGCTAAGCTTTCTGGCATCCAGTGCCCTTTGCTTGTGGCAAACCACACCCAGACACTACTGTAACAGTAACCCACAGAGTTAGTGTTAAAGGAGATAAATCTCACACACACAAAGCAAGGTACTTAAACCCAAATGTAAAGGATTTAGAGATAATAAAAGTAAATAAGTGTCTTGGTGTTCTTTTGAATTGGCAGGCATTATCTTTACATTTTTAAGAACAGTGTTTAATCCAGGTCTGTTAGTGTGACAAAGTCGTGAATATGGTTCCCTGGAGTTATTTTTGTTGAAGTGTGTAGGTAGCAGTTTTGGCCTGCATGCTCTCAGATGACGTATCATACATGCACAACAATTGGATGCCGAGTGCAGGGTCAGCACATCTTATACGGCAGTGTGACAGTACTGACAGATGGAGTGATGTTGGAAACCTGCTGCTGATGTGCTAGATTCAGACTGTAGGTGTTAGCCCCTGCTAAGGAAATAAAGGGCGCCCAGTGAGCCAGAGCTGTCTCTGGAGTGGCACATTCCTACTGCAGGAGAGATAGGCAATGAGCCAAAGAACAGAGCCATTGAGACCTGAGTTGAAGGCAACATTTAGTGTCACAGCAAAAATTGGATGGTTGTGAAGCTCCCCATATTACATTTGGCACAGTGTTGCTTGGAAGAGAGGACTCAAAAATACAGTTATTAGCTGTATTTATATAACAGCTCATTCTAATGTAGCAAAACACCATTCCTATATTCAGGGGATTATGAAAATATAGGTATATTCAATTCTATTTATGCCAATAGATCTTCCTAAATGTTAAACACTGGAACTTTAACCAGGATGTTTACTTAAGATGTTGATGTCTGCTTGCCAAAATGCAGCATAATGTTACAGAAACCAACAACCACGGAAGGAAGAAAAGCAATGAAAGAAAGAAAGAAAGAAATATATGAAAGCATTTTTCCTGTCTAACTCTCAATTACACATCCATCAGACAGAAATAATACATGACCACAACAAACAAACCGAAAAGTTGTGTTGTGCACAACCCGGATTCTCTGTATAGGAAACACTCTTGTAAACAGTATTTATCCTAGGACTGACAGTGATTAACTCCAGTCAAAGTGCCAAAAGAGAAAAGCTGAGGAGGAAGTTGTGCTGCTTTCACTGTAGCTGTTAAACACAGGAACTCTGTTTTTGTCTTTCTTTTGGTAACAGCTGGGTACTATATAAGGAAATCAACTATCGGGGAGCTCAGATTCTGTTGAAACCTGGTGAGGTGCCTGACTGGCGAGAGTTCAGCAGCTGGCTGAAAATTGGATCCCTCCGCCCTCTTATACAGGTAAATTCTGACGCTCCAGAGTGAGCACAAAGCTTTCAGTTTTATGCATTAGAAAATCTGTAAACCAAAATGGTGGAAGTATTTGTACAATTCTAAATGTTTTGTACCGGTACCTACATTGATCTATGGTCAGTTCTAACAGTGGCTGTGTCAGGTTGACTTCACTAAAACCAACTAAAGAAGAAAAGACAAATTATATTAATTTAACTTTTAAAAAGAACCTGTGATTATTGATGACTGACAGCTACACATTGGAAGCCTCACCAACCTACCTATTTTAGCTAATTTTGTCATTGTTATGGTTTAGATCTTAGCAGCAGGTCATGTTGTAATTATTGAGGCATAATCAAAATGTAATTGTATGATGGAGAATTGATATTTAAGCGTTGATGTGATTTAGATTTTCAGCACTGATCCGATGTGTTGTTTGGTCGTGTTTTCTGAGTAGAAGCAAGTACACTTCCGTTTAAGGAACAGACAGACGGGGCTCATGATGTCAGTCACCGGCGATTTGGATGATGTCAAACTGATGCGTGTCCAAGAAACAGAGGAGACCGATGGATTCGAGCAGATCTGGTCCTACCAGAATGGGCATCTCCACTGCAAGGTACAACAGTGCTGCAGTACAGATCATTTTAATCTTGTCAGAATGCATCTTATTAAAGTCAAGACCAGGTCCAGAAAAGGACAAGACTAAGACTAGAGACTGAAACTGGATTTAAGTACCTCAGACTTGGGTACTATGGCATAACCTCAGTCCATCTTCCACTGCTGAGGGTGAAACAAGAGGATATTCAAGCACAAACTTCCCATTCCATACTAAATACTGATCCATTGATCCGGCATAAAGTCCATACTAATGTGAAATATAACGATCAACTCCTCTCCCTGTGTTTCCAGCTGCTGGAGGAGTGCTGCCTGGGCCCCAGTGGCAGTGTGACGATGGCAGGAAGCCGCGTGGGTCTCACCCCAGAGCCAGAAAACCAGGTCCACCTCTGGAGCATCACCCCTGAAGGCTTTATTCGTTACTCCCCCTCCTCTGATCTTGTCCTGGAAGTCAAAGGTGAGCATCCCCATGTGGCATGACATGTCTTAACTTAAGAACTACTAGCAGCAGCATTAGATGAGTTCACCCTGAAGATCCAAATATCAAATATTTTAAAATAACATAATGCAATATTTCATGGCTGTATAATACTTCAGTGTCAGTTAAACTTGCATGCACTTTATGTTCAGGTTTTATAGTTAAAACCACCACCTGCAAACACTAGGACACATCCTAAACTTATTTTAAATATTCTTTATGTTCCCAGGTAAATGCAGTTTATTTCTCTGTGTCATTACACTACTGTTACTGATTATGTAACTTCTGTACATTAATTACTTTTGTTCAAATCAAGGTGCTGTTAGGATTGTAAGAATAGTCACAGTGAGCCTAACTGTCTGTGGATTGGAGTTTCACTGGGTATTTGTCTGTGGGGGTTTGTTTGCATCACTGTCAGTTAGTGACACCTGGTGGACAAAATAATGTTAGTGAACAGACCATCATTCACTGTATTAAAATACACAGTATTCTGAATATTACTTACCGTGATTGTGTTTAAATGAAATACATGAAAAAAATATGACAAACAATTAACAGGATACAATTTGAGATTTTAGATCATTTTACATCTAGATGAGTGTCACCTACCTTTAATCATATTTAAGGTATATAATATTATGAAACAGGAACTCATTCCAGCAGCAGTAAATAAAACCCACTTAATAAAATGTCACTTCATAATAACACTCCCAAAATAATAATATAAAAAAAATAATTAATGACAACATATCTCTGTTTCAGGAGGCCATCACTACGACAAAACCCAAGTGATTCTAAACACACTTGAACCACACAAACTACAACAAAGGTGGAATGTGGAGATTATATGAAAATATACAAGCTGCTGGACTGGATCCTTAATATTATTACAGCTCTACTAACGGCTGTAAAACAAGTGTTCAAGGACAGGGTACCTCATTGGAGATGATCAACCTTTGCTGCAGGACAACTATACAAATTTCCAGTGTGATGGTCAACATGGAGAGCTGTGGATAAATCCGTAAGAATGTATTGCTACCCACTAACCTGTACAGATAGTGGAGCCTGAACTTTTCCTACTTCATACTTTACACTTCCAGTAATATATCCCAAGGTGTTTTTTTGTTGTCGTTTTTTTTCATTGAATAAATCGTTTGCCTGATGTTAATTAACTTAAACAGTGTTAACACATATCTTTTTATGCACTGTCATGTTATATATACCCTTACTTTCCAGCTGCATGCAACATGAGGAAACAAAAGTGTTTTTTTTTTCTTTGTTTAATTAAAACTAGACAGCACACAACTCTTGTCTTTTCAAAATAAAAGTATTTTTGTCAATAAATTTCTTAAATACATTGTACAGTATCTTAAGTTACACTTGGTTTACAACAATGTTCATTAAACTGCAAAATGTTCCAGATGTAAAGTAATTATTTATTTTGCCCAAATGTTTAATGGTTAATGCAATGTGGCAGTGGGAAAGATTCCCATGATTACAACGTGCTCATGGCTGTTGTCAAACAACTCAACATGTAGAGAGTGCAAAGAGATGCAAAGAAAAAGCAGATAGTTGCCTGTTTTATCGTGCTGCTTCTGCTTCACGTGGTACTGGAGGCTAAACACATCTATTAATAAACATTTCCAGCTGACAATGTTCTTAACATTTTATTTATATATATATTTTTATATAACTTTTTATTATATAAGCTACCAGAAAGCTGCCTGGTTGTAATTAGCAGCTGGACGCTGACCTGAATGGTATTTATTGGTCTGCAGTTAATAATTATAGTAACTTCACCGTGACATGAATGCAGAATAACTCAAGCACCTTGTGAAAACTTTAAGACTGTACACGAGGGTGTAAGCTTTAATAAACAACAGCCTTTGGCACACTCCCGTTACAAGCTCGGATCACGCTTTGTAGTCTACTGCACGACAGCAGCACCACTGATCTCTTTGAATAATATAGTCTGCAGCTGTCAAGAGTAACCTTGAAAAGGTGAGAAGAATCAGAGCACGCCACTTTCTGACTCTAGTTTCGCTTGGCTGTTTCTTGCTCTGCTTGCTCCGAATCTGCAGTCTCTGTGTGACTCTTCTGCACCAACTCTTCGGCCAGTCTGTCGTCCTCTTCAGCCACCCTGACTACTGTTTTCCCTCTGGCGTGGCCCTCCTCCAACTTTTGAAAAGCCTGCGGCACCTGGGTAAATGGAAACTGGGCCTCCACAACTGGCAGGATCTGTGATGAATCAGCAGAAAATAGCATGAATATAAGCTTAAATTCAGGAAGTAAATCCAGAAACAATTAAGGGATCAGAGTTAAACCTTCAGCATATCAGACATGGCATAATTTGTTTTAATGGGTAGGGGAAATGGATGGAGGGACTGCTTTATTAGACAGCTGAATGAGTGTTAACAGTTTGAAAAATGAGTCATACAATTTTTCTGAGGTAGACTCCATGCATTAAGTGCTCTAAACAAGCCATAATTGATAACTACACTATTTTCAATACTACTGGACTCAGATCTGAGGTGTATACACAGTTTTTGTCCAATGAGTGGCAATTACAGTAATCATATTTAATCAATTTAGACAAGCAAACACCCTCGATCTGCTAATGCTACATCATCTCTGCTTTCATAGCTCCAAATGTGAAAAAGTGAGGGAGGGGTTCAGAATGTGATGAGGCTGGACAATCCTGCGCTAGTCCCACAACACGAGCAGCCAGGCTTGTTATTCTGGTCAGCATCTCTTGTCGTTAACAATGAATGGGGAGCACAGTGGCGTCACGCTGGAAACCATCCACACTTCTGACTGAGAATAGGACATGTAGAGAGAGTGTGCATGTGTGTGTTGTGTGTCCGTAGCTTCCCGCCACTGGTCTGAGTGTGCCGCTCGCTGTAAGCCCCAGGACAAAAGGACAGAGGTCCTGCACGCTTTTGCGAATGGCTGCTCAGCACTGTTTGAAAATCCATTCACCGTCTCCTGGCGCCTGACTCAATCGCCCAGCAGCCAACCGCCAACCAACCAACCAGCACAGCGGGAATGCGATGCTCACTCCTTAACAAAGCCACAGGGGACCCTTGAATACAGGCATGTATGGAATCCCTGGTATGTTCATATTCAGTGATGGAGGGATGGAGATCATACAGCACACACATGTCTGTCAGCATAAGTGGTTCTGAATGACAAGTATGCCAGCATGTACGATATCAGTAATGAGGCAGCACAGTACCTTCCCCGCATCCACCAGCTTGCTGACCTCGTCCAGGGCGGGCCCATCTGGAGCATAAAATCCCCACCGGTAGAAGACTCCACTTGATATCATGTTCTAAGAGGCAAACAGAGAGGATGACAATTAGAAGTCAGGCAAGCCTGCACCCCGCAGGGAATGGAAAGATAAGGCGGTTGGCATACAAAGGTCTCCAGGGGTCGTAATTTAATATCCTTGTTGTCATACATAATCCTAAAACACACAGTTAACCAACTACTGAAAGTGGGAAAATGAAAATGTAGAAAGTAAAATCTGAATCAGAATATAATGAGTTAGAGATTTGATTTGGAATATAATATAAAATATAGGTGATACTTTTCTCAGTGTTAATTGACAGAAACTTGGATGAGATGCTGGTGGTGAGCTTAAACAGCAAACAGACTCTCTCTTATTATTCCGGTTATTATAATTCACATATAATAATTCCTCTACAGTTCCCTTTTATGGTAATCCATCTACTGAAAACTGGTATTTTTCTGGCGACTTAAATATGTAACAAAGAAAAAACACCCAATGCCAATAAGGGTGCACCACAGAGCATCTAAAACACAATGAGTAAAGAAAAGCAAGAAGGAACTCCCATGTACTTATCCTGACATTTAACACTACTTGATATTTGATCATAATATTATCATGTGGCATAAGTTTGCCACACCTCTTTAGCTTTCGGGTAAATCTATCCCTGCTTCCTAGAAAAAAAACCCCCAACAGATTATGACAGATTCTTCCGGATCAGTCAATGCTGCCACAAAGTTCAACACTAGAGGGCTCCATCGCCCTCCAGTTGAAAGGGACGTGCTGTCCGGAGCCGGGCACTGAGGGTGTGACTGCTGTGGCTGAGCCCCAACAAACTCACCAGCTGGCTGCTTCCGTGGACAAAGGGGCCCGGAGGCTTGGCAAGAAACACACAAACACTGGTATTTGCCGGGTGGAGATAGTCGGCTACAATCTGCACAAACACTAAATACTGCTGGTTCAGCAGCAAACACATGCGCACACACGCACAGTCTCATCCACACATACCCAACTCCAACACTGCCAGCGGGACTCTCACCAACGCCTGCAATGCCCAGGACAACTTGACTCAGTCCCTAGAGCGGCTCCACCCTGTCCTCGCCTATTCACCCACTACCCTCATTACACATGCTTTCTACGAACAGAGCAGCTGGAGGGACAGGACGGAGATGCAATACCACGAGGCTCCAACTCTTAATGCTCAAATTCCCTCGTCACCTGAATGCAGTTAAATTTATTACAGCCTGCAGGGTATATTTCTACAGCTCAAACATAACCCTTTGCAAAGAGAGAATATGCCAGGAAGCTATGAAGTCAAGTTATTACATGATTTGTCCCTCCCCATTTCAACTGATCAACTGAATGGAAATTAAATAAACATTTCTACTGGCTGGAACAGGTGTTTACCCATTACACAATAGTGTATTTCCATGCCACTGAAGATCAAGTATTCATTTCAGTTTTGGGAGTACCTTTGGTCCACACCCATGCTAATAGCGCAACGAGATATACCAGACTCAAAGCGTTTTATAAAGATAAACATCAAGCATTCTGCTTGTGAGATGAGTCGCTGTGTATTTCAGACCATAAACAGCAGTATAATATTTCATCAGCTGTTCATTCAGTGTTGAATTCAAAAGTTTGTTTTGCTCATGTTTACCTGTATGGCCTTGCTTTGCAGAGTGAATCCAGCATGAAATGCCCCGTCCAGCAGGCCCATGGAATCAGTGTTGAGGAGTAACGGCGTAACCAATGTAACGTACTTTGCCCCCGACCAGGGCTTCAGCATGGTCATCGCCCACTGCTCTGTCTCTCCACCCACGCTGTCCAAGATCACATCAAATCTGTGGGTGCAATCACACACTGTCAAACTTAGAGGAACCCTGGTGAAGAAAGGTTTGAAATATATAAAAAAAATATAAAAACACACACACATAGCGGGTTAGTAGTTATAAGAACAATGCACGTTTTATAATAGTCCGTATAAAAGTCCGTATACTACATATTCCTAGAGTTGTGATTTAGGGAGTATGCTCTGGAACAGATAATTTGTTTTGTCTTCAAGCTAAAGCCAGGATTTACCAATTTAGTTTCGGGGGCGGTGAGAGGGGTAAACCAGCGTCCACTCAGACCTTGAGCCCTGGTTTCCATGGAAACTAGAAAGCGAGTCAGTGAGCGGTTGCTCACAGGAAGATGTTTACCACATTTGGGGATGTTTAAAGAGGAGACGCACACACAATTCTTGCAGTACTGGGCTATTCCTTTTCATTAGCACTTTTATTGGACTGGCACTGATTCTAATGATACTTCATTATGGGCCTGGGGCTAGTAAAGAACATTTTGCTCTGATTTGTTTTTTAAATAAAAACAATACACTGCCTCTACTTTACACATAATGTACTGTATGATTTGATTGTTACTTCTAAAAGCACACACTTTACACAGCAACAACACATACTTGTCCATCATTTGTAGTTGCTCAGCCACATCTCCTGCTGTGTAGTCCACCACCTCGTCGGCCCCAAGCCCTCTAACGAGGCCTTCGGCGTTCTGAGAGCAGGTAACAGTTACGTGGGCACCCCAGGCCTTCAATAACTGGCAGCACAAAGAGGAAGAAAACAGAAATGTACACACAGACACAGTAAGTGGCCTTACATTCATGCAGGGTTTAAAAGAGTCAAACATACACGCTGGTACAGCTCGGGGGATACAATTTGCCTTACCTGAATAGAGAATGTTCCAACACCTCCAGATCCTCCAGTGATTAAAACTCTAGGAGGAGAAACCCCAGCAACCAGAAGGTCATTCAATTACTGTATGACTCATTTGAGCGAAGCTACTATAAGAAGCAGAAGCCCCAGGGGGTAAAAAAAAAAAAGAAAGAAGAGGATTCGCAGGATTGGAAGCTATTACATTTGAGGAGGAGTGAAAGTTCCATTAGATTACACACAAGGTTAAATTGTTACAGTCTGTGGGGTAAAGACATGATTTTAAAACCCTTCTGATGCCAATTAGAATGAAACAGACCATTTTTACCACTGAAGTAAATGTGATGAAGAAGGTCTCTTATCAAAGTCTAGGTCTGCATGAAAAGGAGCACATTTAGAAACTTCAATACCCTAAAAAATGAATTAATGGCCGTTTATAATAATATTCAGGAACTTAGCAACTTCTTACTTTTTACCCGAGTAATGTGACAAGAGGAATTCAATATAAAGTTATCCATGGTCAGGCTGGTGCTTGCCTTTTATTTGAAGAGCTGTCTCTGCAAAGACCCCCTGCATTGACCAGCGCAGACAGAGCAGTGTTGGCTACGTAGGGGATGGACGCTGCCTCTGTGTGACTCAATGATTTTGGTTTGTGGGAAACCTGCAAAAAACAGCCACACAGACAATGTCAAAAGTTAGAAATATATCAAAACTTCAAGAGTCCTTTTAATTATCAATTTAAGAGGTCAGTCTAATCAGCAGAGCGGCTGTGAGGGCAGCTAGTTTGGAGCTGCTGAATAAATTATGTGTAATACTGCAAGAAAACAGGGGGCAATTTATGTGTCTCTCTCTGTAATTGCTGCCACAGTGGCTCCTGCTCGAACCAAACAAACATAATCCTAATTACTTTTTACACTGCAGGATTACATAACACTTCCAAACTTTTGTTTGACTTTTTTTTTTTTTTTACAAATCCTACAAGAGCTCTAAATGAACTCTTTCCATTTGTTTGAAAACATACTGACAGGAAAGTCAAATTACTTTAAAGTCGGTCTTATGTTAGACTCTCTTACAGTTTATCAGTCATTTGATGATGAAAATATACTGCAGTGAAACAACTCTACTGGCTCCACAGCTCACCTCATACTCTGTTAAAGTCACAAATTCTGCCAGACTGCCTTGCTTCCATGGGGGAACAGCAGCCCACACCTGGAACACAAATATGACATGCTGAACACGACCCTGACTCTGGGCTATTAAGCTCTAAGTCAGCTGTTCCTGTTATCCTCATTAGTCATTTCCAAAGATATTTTTACACTGGTGGAACGGGATTACTAGAACACTGTATGTGTACATTTTTACTGGTGTGTATTTATGTTATTTAATCACATGTAAGTTGAATTTGCATGATTGCATTTTGTCAGTAGAAAGACAGTCATGTGGATATGTGGGAGATGACACAGTAGATATCAAAAATGATGATGAATTGCTCTTGTGACGGCCAAGCAGAAAGATCTCGGTGAATTAGTTCATTATGGAGCTGTGTGCATTGGGGGTGAGCAATATGATGACATGTGGGCATTTAGAATAAGCTATTTTTTATCCTATCCCACTGATCATCCCGTGACCCTCAGATTTATCACTTGTGGAGGCCAGGACCACCACTGTCTTTGACCATTGTGGGCTGTGTCAGAATATCGGATTTTTATATGACTTTTGCATCAATATGAAAAACCTTGATTTCTTGAGTATTCATTTTGCTGGATTTTTTAATTATTTTTGTTTAATTATTAATAAACAGTTTCTCGAAGAATTTTCTAGCTGATGTACTATATTACAGCATTGCAAAATAAAAGTATTGGTATAGTTACACTGGATTTAATAATTAATACTTCTTGGATAACATTACATCTTCTAAAAAGGTGTGCAGTGCAGCTCCTACCTCATCTCCTGGGAAAAAATGGGTCACCTCAGAGCCACAGTCCACCACTACACCAGACACATCACGACCCAGAATCAGAGGAAACTCACTATCACTGTCCATCACAGACATTGGATCCCTTCTTAATTTAAGCAATTTAGCTCCATAACCACCTATTAAAAGGAGACAGCGAGCAGGTAGGTTAAAAACAACTTCAACACTGATTATGTTGCTCACAGTGCCTTTGATGATACCAGCCAAACACTTACCCCTCATAGATATATCAAGAGGGTTCAGACTGGCCGCATGGACTTGAATCATCACCTCACTGGGAGAACTGACAGTGCGGACGGTGATTTCTTCTGTGTACCTCAAACTCCCATTAGTGCCATACTGGTCAATGACCCATGCCGACATACAGCCCTGTAGTCTTGAAGGTGAACTGCTGACATTTCTCCTGAAGCACACACTCCAGCCTGCCCTGGCTAATGTTTTGGTCGAGCCTGCTGCTTTCGCGTTGAACATACACAGGAGCCTGGTTGCCGCCATAGCTCGGACAGAGCCTAATTCAATCGCCCTCTAAGCTGGTTTACCTACAAGGTCAGCTTTTAATAAAAACGTGTCATTTGGAGGAACACTTGTCAGTAAGTGAGCTAGCTGGTAGCTACCGAGCTAGCATGTGTGAACAGGTCGCCAGCGCTCAAAGCATTCGCGAAGATGTTCATAATAGAGCAAATAAATAAGCGACAACGCCTTTGAGCACGTTATGTGTGTTATCGAGTGTCACATTAGGCTGAAATAAGAACCACTGTTACAAAAAATCAGCATAATACACACCCCTCCGCGGCTACACGGCTACATAACAAGTTAAACTTTGAACTCACAGCGAAAGCCAATCAGAATTCTGTAGCCACATATTCTAGCCAATAGGAGAAGAGAATGACTCTGACGTGTGATACAATTAATACAAACT